TCAGCTGACTATGCCGAGGCGCTGGCAACCACAGCCACTCGGTCTTGGAAGGGTTGAGCCTGAGTCTGTTCAAAAGGGGGAAGTATTGACATGGTAAAATTCTGCTGCGGGATGTCTCTATTCAGGCTTGCAACACTCCACTGAGCCTTCAAGGAAGCCAGCAGGCCTTGAAAAAGCTGGGTAACTTGGCTGAGAGCAGAGTTCGTCTACAGCCCAGGATATCAGGAGGAGGGGGATGGGGTGGTTGTCAAAAAAAAGTCAAGTTGGTGTCTATGTGATCAAAGCCCTGTTCCTTTTTATGTATGTTACTCATGTACCACCATCACCATTACTACCCCTGAACACCCCAATTTCCTGAAGTTTGCCTGTTGTAGAGGGCAAGACTAAAAGACATAAACTTTGACTGGTGTGACAGCTTATCGTTTTGGTTGGATATTATCATTTGATCATCACAGGATTGCCTATTTGACCTAAAGTTAAGCAATTCTAAGAATCCATTCATAAATCACTATTAAAAACTTGGATTATTAATTATGGTTTGTCACACAGATGTTCAGACAGGATTTGGCATTTCTGTTCACCTATCAAGTCCTTCCAAAGGACCTGAGATAGGCAGATGTGGATGTTTGATGGTCTTAAAAGATATCTTCACAGGATGTCAGTTATTCCAAGCAAAGTTGTTCATGGTGAACTTGTCAATGCTGATGATGTTTAAGTGGTACTCCAGTTGTTTTGGAATTGCACCCAAGATGCCAATTATTATTGGTACTACCTTTGCTTCCTTTTGCCATAGTTGTTCTATTTTTATTTACAGGTCTTCTTCTGCTGTTTCCAGGTACTACCATGTCCACTATCCAGACATTTTGTTTTTCTTATCAATAATTGTTGTTATGTATCAGGTGCCTCTCTGTTAATTATCATCATCATCATCATCATCATCATCATCAATTAAATTTATATGCTGCCCATCTCTCGACAAGGCGACCCTTACAGATCATAAGATTATCATATTAATAGATAAGAAATTCACTGAATATAATAGAAAAGTTGCAGAAAATGGAGATAACTGGGTGTCTCCATTTTCAGCAACAGTTCCAATAGCTGGTTAGCTGAGAAAACAATGGGCTTCTAAGTAGTTGATGTGGTGGGGAACCTGGAACAATATTGGATTTTATAGAACTCTGTTGCCTTTCTTTCATTTTGCTGTCTTAGCTTCTTGGCTCTTATGTGTGACTCAAGCTGAAAGCAATTAGTAATCAGCAAACTGACCTTTACCATCAATCCAGGCACATGGAGGACACTGAGCTGGATCTTTGTTTATTGAGGGGGGTGAGGAGAGACACAGAGAGAAAGTATGTTCAAATAAGCAATTAATTTACTATTTTTTCCAGGAAATGAGAGAAAAGACATATGATACAAAGTTCAATATTCTCTCTGGAATTCAACCCTGAAACTTTGAATTATCCTCGTAGCCAGAATACAGTAGATGCTAGTTCAATTCAAGTGAGCAGATCAGCTTTTTAAACTTGCAGTATTTGCTTTTTTGTGGTATCCTATGAATCAGAGCTTTGATGGGAACAATTATTTCAGTTTTAGGTCTTCACTTTTCCTACTGAAAACTAGAACTTTTAATCATTTTAAGACACTTAAGCTATGAATAGGCAATATTAATTTGACCCGTTGCTGTTCATCTCTTTTAAAGCAGCCAACATAATATACATGTAGACAAATAATAACTCACACAGAAAGCATGCAAAATTACTGCTCCATGCCGCCGATCTTCATTCGTAAAGATGTCATCAGGGAATTCACGGAGAGCTGAGAAGGAAAAAGAAAATAAAATCAAACATTGAAACAGTTGAATTATAGTAAAGATATATTAATTAAACAAGCAAAGTAGTTTTTTAGACAGGCAATCCTTGTATGTTCCTATATTATGGAAACTGTCCTACAGTGCATATTATTACCAAGCTACTTCATTTTACATCTTAGTGTAAATATGTATAATGAAATCTGATGTTATAGTAACCAGGCTTGAAAGATCTATTAAATTCTTAAAACAATAAAATTATACTTATAATATTGGACATAATTTAGAAGCACATTTAAAAACTTTTGATTAAAATGAGACAATACAAACTTGAGAGTTTTATCATCTCTACAGTTCAGATTTGTTGCTGATTTTAGCAATTTGGAGCAATTCCCAAATACTTATTTTACTTATTTTAAAGTCTGTGCTAACAGGTAGAGGATATGTTAACTGGAAAACAGTAATGGCAACTGTAAAGTGAATGGGGCTAAATTTATTATTTTCTCATTACCACTGCATACAGTACTAATTGTAGGAAAAAGAATAAAATAAAATACTTCATTGGCCAAGTGTATAGACACACAAGGAATTTGTCTCTGGTGCAAAAGTTCTCAGTGTACATGCAAAGCAACAGAGTAATAATAATCATAGTGATGATGCCAATAAGAGGGGGTAATAAAGAAGATGGAAAGGATAATAATAATACTACAGCCATAAAACATGGGTAAATATACTTAGACATAAGACAATACTGTGAGAATTAGGAGTTCAGCAGAGTGATGGCACGAGGGAAAAAACTGTTTCTGTGTCTAATTGTTTTGGCATGCAATGCCCTATAATGGCGCCCTGAGGGAAAGAGTTGAAACAGTTTATGTCCAGGATTTGAGCGGTTTGTAGATATTTTCTCAGTCCTCTTTCTCTGACCCGTGCAATATATAGGTCTTCTATGGAAGGCAAGCCAGTTGCAATTGTTTTTTCTGCAGTCTTACTATCTATGCTGGAGTCTGTACCTGTCCTGTTTGGTTTCTGTACCAAACTAGACAGTTATAGAAATATAAATGACAGACGCAATAATTCCTCTGTAGAACTGTATCAACAGCTCCTGGGGCAGTCTGAACTTCCTGAGTTGATGCAGGAAGAAACATTTTTTGTTGTGCTTCTTTAATGATGGTTCTAATGTTAAGTGTCCAGTTCAAGTCCTGGGAGATTATAGAACCCAAAAGCTCACAGGATTCTAGAATAGAAGGACTCCTCCTAAATACATTGTCATCTATAGTTTTAAGCATGTTTGGCTCCAGATTGTTCTGACTGCATCACAGGCCAGTTGTTCAACCTCCTGTTTATATGCAGACTCACCACTGTCTAGAATTAGACCAGTGACTGTTGTATCATCTACAAATGTCAGTACTTTAACAGAGGAATCCCTAGAGATGCAGTCATTGGAGATGCAGTCATCTCTGTTTATGATAGGAAACACCATGTGATGTATGTTTCTTATTAATGGTACATTTGCTGCTGGACTACTATGTTCAGACAGTGATTAAGATTTTAAGAATATAAGGAAAAACATGCCTGCTTAAAGGAAAAACCAACTGAATCAGTTCACACAATGGCAAACTAGTTGTTTATTTGGAAACCAATAGATAAAATTTGAGCCCAATCATATTGGAGTGCTATTGTTGCTCAGCAACTAACATTCATAGTCATTTGTCAGCAGGAATGCAAGCTAATGAAGCTCCCAGTCTGAATTGGTCACTAGAAGGCATTCTGCACCTTTGATAGCTTGAATAGGAAGACTCCGGTCAACTTCTTCTTTTCTCCAGTGGTATCTATTGCTGAAAAATGTGTACTTTCTATTAAATTTTCCCTTCAAAGCAAAAACATCTAAGTGCATGCCATAGAAATAAATTGATCAAGGAATCAAGGCTTTTGAAATATTTTTGTGTCATTTTCCAGTTTCTTACTTTTAGACAAAGCTTTCCTCTCTCAAACAGCAAGCAGAGAACCTTCCAAAGTGGTGTGTGGATATGCATATTGGAGAGGAAGCAGAGATGCTTTTGATTCCAGGATAATAGTCTTTGATCACAAGGGATGTTTTGATCCAGAACTAGCCATCTTTTTAACTCAGAAACAAGCACAGAAAAAGCACCTTGCTACACAGGGTCCAAAAACAGAGGCAACATTCACTGTTTCCAACAGTGAACATGAACAGATTAGATTACAAGGCAAACATAAATATCTCTTCTCAGCGTCTCAGAAAAAAACTCATCCTGGTGATATTTAGGTATTTTCACTCTAACAACAACTTCAAATGCAAAATTATGACAGGTATGGTAGAAAAACAGGTCTGTTAAGTAAGAAAGAGCATGTTGGGAAAAGACTTGAAGATTACTTCCAGTCTGTAGGCCACCAATGGCCCTCTGACTTATTTTCCATAGCCTACATATGCTTGATACATTCACACTGTCTCCAACAGTAGGCATGAGCTTGCTCTCTTACTCTCAGTACTTTATTCACAGCCTTCCATCCAAGAAAGTTTGAGGTTTTTCATGGGAATGGGTGGATATGTGAACAGAAGTTGTGAATACCGGGCAGGTAGGCAGGAAGGCAAGTAGGCAGCAGGAAAGGAGGAAGGAAGGCAAGCAGGCAGGGAGGGAGGGAGACAGGGAAGAAGATAGGCAGGCAGGCAAGCAGGCAGGGAAGCCTCACATCACTAGTACCACTTTATAAAACCCTAGTGAGACCACACCTGGAATACTGCAACCAATTTTGGTCACCATACTAGAAAAAAGATGTTGAGACATTGGAAAAAATTCAGAGAAGAGCAACTAAGATGACCAAAGGCCTGGAGACTCAAACCTATGAAGAACGGCTGCAGGGCTAGTCTAAAGAAAAGAAGAAATAGGGGTGACATGATAGCAGTATTCCAGTATTTGAGAGGCTGCCACAAAGAAGAGGGGGTCAAATTATTCTCCAAAGCACCAGAGGGCAGGACAAGAAACAATGGTTGGAAACTGATCAAAGAGAGAAGCAACCTGGAATTAAGGAGAAAGTTCCTAACAGTGAGGACAATTAACCAGTGGGACAGCTTGCCTTCCATCACTGGAAGTTTTTAAGAAGAGACTAGACCAGGGGTAGGCCAACCTTGGCTCTTTTATGACTCATGGACTTCAACTTCCAGAATTCCTAAGCCACTTGTGAAGTCCACAAGTCATAAAAGAGCCAAGGTTGCCTACCCCTGGACTAGACAGTCACCTGTCTGAAATGGTATAGGTTCTCCTGCTTGAGCAGGGGTCTGGACTAGAAGACCTCCAAGGTCCCTTCCAGCTCTATTATATTCTAACATATTCTAACTTTTTTCCTCTCTCCGGATCTGTCTTTCTCCATACACAGTGAAATGAAGCCACTATTAGGCTACTTGGGTTGCAACATAACCATAGCGCTGGGTTATTTGTGGTATATTCCCAAGTGTGGTAAATATGAGTTGCAAGATTGCACGGCTCTCTTCGAATTCTCTACCACCTCCTCCTTGGTGAAGGAGAGTGGGGAGATTGAGTAACAAGTTCCACTTTTTGGTTCTCCCTGTACAGATGTCATAACTGAGATTTGGGAGGGAATAAAGCTATCATGTGAAAGAGTCCTATTCTTCCCAAAAGAAAGGGGAGAAAAACCCAAGCAGACAGTAAGAAACGTGCGGCACCATCCTAAAAGGCCTTCTCAGACGGAGGGAAAAGTAGCCTGGAAGCTTCTACTAGTGAAAGGACCATGATGTAACTTTGGTGCTTTTTGGGGGGTAGAGAGGTTGGCTCAGCTTGGAAACCTCTCCCTTTCCCCTCAGCATGGCTGGCTCAGGAATTCTGGGAGTTGAAGTCCACGAGTCATAAAAGAGCCAAGGTTGCCTATCCCTGCTCTAATGGTTAAGGTACCAGGCTAGAAAGCAGGAGACCATGAGTTCAAGCCTCATCTTAGCCATGGAAGCGGCTGGATGATTTTGAGCCAGGCTCTTTCTCAGCCCAACCCACCTGACAGGGTTGTTGTTGTGAGGAAAATGGGAGGAGGGGAAACGTGTATTGGAGATGTTCGCCACCTTATGTCATTTGTAACAGGCTACAAATAAACAAATAAATAAATCCTGCAAGGCAATTGCTGGAAAGGGCTTCACTGGGGCTAAGGAGGCAGAAGCAATGAGCTACAACAACCTTGTTAAATTGGGGGAAAAGGCGGGAAGCACTTTTGCCTCCAACAGCAAAAGGCATAGAGATTTGATTGGAGGCAGGAATTAGTGTGCTTTCCTGTCAACATTTTAATGTAGGGCAGGTCAAGAAACAGGCACAGCAGAGATTCCAAGAATGCCATTTATTGTAGTAATCTAGACTAACAGAATCTTGAAAGTCTGTCCAAATTTCTTTGTCCCATTTAATACTAAACAATATCAAGATGGGATTACTTAGTATTTGTTTCTCACCCTTCCTTCTTTCTCAATTTTGTGTAATTTTTTTTCTGCCGGTCCCCTCTTACTGCTCACTCTTTCACTTTTACTGCTCACTCTGCTCACTCTGTCCCGAAGCCAGCTCTAAATCTGTTTATACTTTCTTGTAAACAGCTTCCCTTGGAATGATGGTCTATCTGCAGCAGACAGCTTTGGTTCTCTAATGATGCTGAGCTAAAATGCCCCACATCCTTTTCCTTTTCCTAGACTGGCTGGGGTTGATGGAATTGCAATTTAGCAACCTCTGTACAGCTTCAGATTATAGATTAGAATATAATGATTAAAATGATTTTTGTAGTTATGTATGAAACATATTCAGTATTACAATGAAGTAGTCTTCATGCTGCCCCTCTTACAATTTGAGTTTCAGATTCCTGCCCCAATTTGAGCCAGACAAACAAGCAAAGGGACATCACACTTCACCCACCAGCGGAGCCCAAGGAGGGCTGTATCCATCATTGCTGTCAGTGTGAGAAATAAGGCTGAG